CTCTCACGTGTTTAGTACCTTGAGAAGGTGAGAGCCTGATAAATGTCAAACGGTTTATGCAGCTAAAGCATCCAGAAGCCTGGAGTCTTATCTAGGTTTCTATAGTATGCAAAATTGGATTGCCAGTCTCAGGAGAGTAATCTCATAAGGGATTTTCTAATCCTTCTGCTGGCAACTCCAGCCTGCAAATGAACAGGAGTGGGAAGCAGTTGACCCAAAACTATTTAAATCCTGAAAGCTTCAGTCTCCACTAGCGTGGCTATCTGTGAGAACTCCTGCAGGAACCACAAAGCACTTCATGCATAGAGATGACTGTTTCACAAACACAATTACAGCTGGTTTGTTGCCTACCTCCACACAGGTGTGTCTGCATTCCTACTGGTGCATAACGGGTTTCTTGGAACAGGCTACTGGGAAGGATGCTTTGTGTTGCTCAGAAAGCTTTTCCAGAAGCAAATTGCTCTGCTGGATACTGGCTTGGCTCTAATTCTGGCCCCACATTTATTCACAGCCATTTATACTGAAAATGTGACATCTTCCTTGAGCTAAAATAACACCTTTCCTTCGGCAGTGAATAAGCAGTTTTTCAGAGATTCTCCAAGGCAGAAGGCAGCATTAGGCATGCATTTATTGGTCATTAGCTATTTGGTGTTAAGTGATTAAAAACTCCTCTGCCCTTGCCGACATATAATTCAATTATTTTGAAAAAATTAGCAAATTGTTATCTCCAAAAAGGTTTAATGCTGATTAAGTGAGGCTATTTTTCTTCTACACTGTGCTAATCACTGCCTTTCAGCCACAGACAGGGAGAATCACCTTGGATATCCAAACTGTACTGCAGCATCAGGCCCCAAATAATGCAAGAAGGAAAAGCACCCACATCATCTTAATTTTTCCTACATAGCATCTTGTTCTGTGGAATCTGTCAGGCCCTTTCCTCCTCCCACCAGGGACAAATAGCTTGTAAATCAATAGTCATTACAGATACTGTAGTTTTAGTTAACAATTATTTTATTAAATTTGGAAATATAGCATATAACATTTGACTGGTCCTGCTATTTTATTTTTTTTTAATAAATTATGGAAGCATTTTCTTTTTGGCTTGTGTTTTCAAATAAAAATGGAAATAAAAATGGAAAGTACTGCTCTTTTTTTTATTTATTTTTTTTTGTCTCAGAGGTAAAACACAAACCTACACATTAGAGCTTCTGCTTCTGTCCAGCTGGGTGAGTCAGCACAGAAGTGGTGAAGAGAACCCTGCCAGACTTATCAGAGAGGGACTGGAAACTAAGGAGGAAGGGAGAGCTTTCTCTAATACCCTATGGCTGTCAGGTTTAAATTTTAATCTGAAAACATTCAGGGCTAAATCTCAATAATTCACAAGAAATTAGTGATTCTACAAGAATAATCACAGAAAGCCAAAGATGAAAATTTAAGAGTCTAGAAAAGTGAAGCACTGTGTGATAAATGAAGAGACCTTCACATAATCCTACATGGCAGGGAACTAGTGCTTTACTCTTTGTGTTCACAAGGTCCTCTACACAACAAAGGTCTAGTTGTCATACAAACAGCATTGTTGTAAAACCATAGTTTGGATGATCAGAGGGAAAGACTCAGTTAAGAGATATATCTCTCTCAGCATCTTCAATCTCCTCTTCTTCCTACCATAAGAAGACATCAGGTGCCTGAGTAATTCAGGTAGCTGGATAATTTAGGTACTTACATTTTCCTGAACAATATTAAAATCTTCTGTCAGCCCTCACTGAAATGAGCTCCCTTAAGTTTAATGTTTGCTCACAAGCATTGCACAGCATCTTTTGTGAAATCATGACAGTATTTTTTCTGAAGAATGAAGCAAAATTTTAACACTATCAGAGGTAGTTCCTGAAGATGAAATAAGGCAGCTTTCACACTACTGAATTCATGCTCCGTGCCCAGATTGGTACATTGGATTAATGGGGCTTCAACAGAATGTCAGTATTTTACTTGACTGGAGGTTCATAACTTCTTACGCTGAGTTTCAGGCCCTGGTTCTTCAGCTCACTGTAATTATAATTGGCAGGAGGAACTGCTTTACAGATGACCCTCCTCCCCAAATGACATTCCCACAAATAGAACTGAGCTCACTGTAGTTTGCAGCACTTAGGCAGAGCTCTGGACTGTATCACAAAGTCTCCTTTAATGGGTTTGCCTCAGTAGATGTAAAGTCCTATTGAATCTTAAAGATGATTTGAAAGGTCTATAGACATTTCACTGATTGCCTGTCACTGAAAGGCAGCAAGTAAAATATTTGAGTGAAAGGGTCCCTTCGAGTCCCTAATCTGTAAATCTGCCAGTCTACACAGACCCTGAATATTTAAAATAAGGGTAGATTAAAGAACTAATTTCTCTTAGAAAGATGCTGTGCATGCTAGGCATCCTCTGCTGTGTTGCTGGTGCCTTGTGCTTTTTCATGACAGAACCTATTCATTTAATCCGCTCCCTTCTGATTTCGAGCTTGATAACATATGGCAAGTCATCAAACAGAAATTATCACTAATAGATAACTGACAATCAATTTCCATTATTCTCAACAAGATGTGACTGCGCCTTTTTTTTTAACCAAACATATTGATTTGCTGAGCTGATTTCCCTGTCATTTCAAACATCTCCATGGGATATTTCTATTGAGCTTGCTGAATGCATTTGCTGCAATGAAGCAGATGCTTATTTTCTCTCTGGCCTAAAGATTATTTATTTTGCCTTTGAGTTAATCTGAAGGCCATATATCAAAAAACCCTATCTGTTATATAAGAAGAAGTCAAATCTCAAAGGATAAACAGAGGAGGATGACACAGATTTAGTATTGAAATCGTTTAAGGTGACATCATTTCATAGGTTTTCATCCAAGTTGCAATACATTTCTCTGGGACATGAGGTTATTTGCTGGCTGGAATATCAAGACAAAATGGGCCACAGCTCCATGGGTTGCAGATGCCTTTCCTGGTGCAAGTGTGTTCCTGAGGGGCTGGGAGATCCTGGAGGAAGATGTCCTCTGCATTGGGGCTGAGTCCACACAAAACATCTACAGGAGTTCAGACCTGGCACAAAGAATATGCAAGGTATCGGGACAGCTTCCTGGCTAGGACTGGCTTTTGCCCTGATTCTCAGGAAGACAGCTGATACTGAAATCAGGGAGAACAGTCATAATGCCCCTAATTAGTCATGGGAAGAAGAAAACAGAATAACAATAAGGAGCATTTGGTACAAAAAAACAGGTAGGGTGACTGTTGGAATGAGTCTGGTCAGGATGGACAATGGAGTGACCCCACCATCTTACTTGGAAAGTATCAATCTTAGGGCATGAGAAACATCTTAAACATCTTGTGTGGTTAGAGTGAGAAGAGTTGGACCATGGGAGTTAATATGTAGATAAGATAGTTACATATAAGGTTACATTCCAACTTCTTGTTAATGATTGTTTAGTTATGTTCAACATATAGGGTTATGTTTGTGATCCTCCCAGTTCATTGGTCCCCTGCCCTCAGATTGTCCCTTAAATAGCACTGTGTTTGTCCTGCCTTCGGGTCTTTTGAGACTATCCCATACAACCTGTAGCTTCTCTCCTTTGTTATTTCGTTCTGTTATTGAAAGTTCTTTTTTGGGTGTCTCAATCATTCCCATCCCTATTTAATTTTGTCATTCAACCCCTGGCTAGTTTGATTCCAGAGTCATGCAGACACCAGTGTGACAGGTGCCCACCTTGTCTCATCAGGACAGCTTTCAGTATTTGGAGGGTGAACACAAAACAAGGTGACAAGAGCTGCCATTATTGCCTGTGTTACCAGGACACTGATGTAATTGCTGCTGAGTTATCTAGGAGAGTAGCCCAGCCCTTACCAGATGTTTAAACAATCCAAGGGTTGCTGCTATGGTATCATGACCACGTGTCTGCTCTGCTTGTAGTGGTTGGGTCAGGCCACAAATGAGAACTACATTAGTGAGACCTATGCAAAGTTAGTGAGACCTATGCAAAGTTCACTTTGTAAAATGTATGAGATTTTGACCAGAAAATCTCCCATTAAATGACATAGGAGGTGAGAGGCAAAGGAAAAATAACCCTTCCAGGCTCTCAGCAGAAGAGAATTTCACCATTAAAAAAAAAAAAGGATTTGATCATTCTCAACAAGTAAACCTTACCAGTGTGTTTCTAATGGGAGTAACACTATCTCTTCTAAGACCTACTAACAGCATTTAACTCAGTTACTCTCTTAGGAAAGTGAATTTCACAGCTTGAGCACTTTTTAATTCTTTAAAACCTGCAAGTCATTAATTTAATCAAATGAACCATTATTCTTTAGTTCTGGGACTTAAAAAGAGGACTGATCCATTTTTCACGCTGTCCATCAACCTTGCAAAGGAAATTACTGTAGAATTTCAATTAGAGGAAGACACACTGTTTGGGACTTTTTAGATTGATTCTAGAGAAAATCACAGCAAATGTGTGTTGGAATACACTGACTGAACTGGGGGGGGAACCTCCATCACTGCAGCTGGTGGAAGCAATCATGCCTGTGGATTGTGCCTCTTTGATTTCCACCATATCCTTTTGTCTGTCTGCCCAAGATTCTTCAAGGGAAATCTCCCACACCAATAAAATTATTCCAACATGCAGACATCAATCCAAAGACTGGAAGTGCCTGAGAACCACACCCAAGAATAGAGTGGGAGACTACATTATAAGCTAATTTAAAAGGGAACTGAAACAAGTAGGTAGTAGATGAAAGCATGTTGAATGACTATGATGCAATCCAGCAGTGTGCAGAAGACTTCTGCTCTCAGGGGCACCAGGAGCTTATAATCTGTACCTCTTTACCTATACATCCAGTTTAGGTGTCCAACAGGTAATTTATCATGTACTGTACTTCCTTAGTTATGTTGGAAAATACCTTTATTCTGTGCACACCCAACAACGATTGAAAAAGCTTTCAGGAGTAAATAGTAGCAGATAAAAAAACCACCTCTGATAAATGTTCAGCACCCGAAAATGTCAAGGATATATCTTCAGTGCTAGTTCTCAGGCAGCTAGAAAAAAAGATGTGAAATAAGTTGAAGAAAGAAATTAAATGGTCTATCTCACTTTTGTAACTGAGCTGGGTTTACATATGTATATATATATATATATATGTATGTATGTATGCGTACATATATCCAGCATTGCAAAACATGGAAGTGTTTCAAGGAGTAAGACTGGGTAGAAAAAAAATGGAAATGAAGTGACTAGGAAGGACAGTAGGAGAGCTGAAGTATTAAATGGGGACATCATAAACATCCTTGCACTGGGATGCACTGAAAATATTGCACCTAAAGTCATGCTGGCTGTGTCTCTGCTACTGTAAATAGATCCAGGATGAGTAAGGTAGGAGCTTAGTTTAAAAAGTAATGCCAAACAGTAAAATAAGGAGGAGGACAACATGAATTAACTTTAAGTAATAAATGTGTTGTTAGGGGAAAAAAATCCTTGCAGTCTAGTGCACTCATCCATAAGAAAGATGGGAAAGCAGAATAAGAGGACAGATTTATAATAGCAGAGACTGAGACTAAGGGTTTGATGGATTCCTCTTTGGGTCCTTGTTCCCTCACATGATTTGGAGTGATTAAATTACTTGAAAGGAAATCTTGGGTTCCAATACTTTGCCCTTTACCAGGACCCCAGCATGAGATACAAGATAGACCTGAAACCAATTTCTGCAGGAGGCGTAAAATCCTGTGTGTAAGAACAGAGTGGAGATGGAAGATGTTCTCTGAGTGGAAACAAATTTAGATTTTTTTCATTAATTTTCTCTTATACACTTTGAAAGGTTAACAAAAACACTTTTGATAGTCCATAGCTGAGTGTCCTTGGGGGAATCGGATTAAGGATTTGTCCCTGGGGATACACAAAGACACATTAGTATTTCTACAGTGATGTCAAGGTTTGGGTACAGGACTAGGTATTTCTTTTCATGGAAAAAGATTCTGAACACATTAAAAATCTACTTGGTTTGCACCAATTTTCTTTTGAAAGAAAATATATCATTAAGTGTGAAACCAGGCAGTGGTAAGAAGTTTCCTCTGGTTTAAACAGAATATTCATTTCAATTAGCTCTTCCTACCTCTACCAAATCATTCACATTAATAGCAGCACAGTCATAATCTCTTTTTTCATATGCTTATGTACAGGAAGGTACTGCTTATGGCACTCTTTGGGCCCAAGTAATCCATTTCAGTTGGGGGAACTTTATTTTCTTTTTGCTTTGTATTGGTTTGGGAATTACCGTGGGACAAAATTGTGGGAGACCCACAAAATACCAGGGATTAAATCTGTCTCCCACTCCAATTCACCTTCCCAGGAGACAGAGTTTGCTGGCACATTGGCAGTGGCCAATGAGAACCTGGACACCTGGTTGCCTCACAGACAGGCCCGGGAACAAGCGAGGAATTAGATCTGGTTTGGAGTTATGATTTGCTAGATCTGACTTGAAAATTGTATGTGACTTCCCCAATAAGTGGTGGCATCAGCTGCAGTTCCAGAATTGTGGTTAGGTTGTGATTTATGCATTTAAAAAGGAGCAGACATACTTTTTTATAATATTTAACCAGAGATTGAACACAGTCCTCTGAGGCCAAGAACGTATTGATTCTAGTAAGCTTTTTACTGTCTTGTTTTGAAATTTTTCCAAGAGTCAGACTCCTGGGAGAAGAGATAGATCCAGAATCCCAGCAAGCATCTCCTCCACAAATCTCAAACTATATACACAGCTACTTTATTCTGCTGCATTTTTAACAGAAACAACCAAGGGGTTATTCTCATCACTGTGATTGAGTTACCTGAAGGGAAGACAGCAGTTACCTCCCATGTTCATTAGCATTTTCCTCACAATTCAGTTCTGGGCACTGGCTATGTGTTGGTCTAACACTCACAGACCTCATCATTCAATTGATTTGGACAACAATGTCTGTTATATGACAATTCTTTTCACTGTGGTGATTTTATTTTATAGAAAATTACTTGGAGTGCTCATGTGAGTGGAATATTTTTAAATCACAACTGCAGCGAGTCACATCTTACATCTTTCACTTTCTGAGGCTAAGACCACAAGAATCTTCCTTTTCCTTTTGTAAAACAGACTGTGTTGTTGTGGTCACCTGTGCAGACCTCATCTGTTTGAGTTCTTCTCTCCTCCTTAGAACCTGGGATGCTCTACATAAGGGTCTCATTGGGTTGTCTGCTAATTGTCTCAAAAAAAAAAAAAATTGGAAAAGGTTTTGGGAAAATCTTGCCTGGTAGAATTGTATTTGCATTTTTATAGGCACATCTCATTGCTGGCTTGCAGACATCCTGCAATTATGACAGCCAGGCCTTTCTCTTTCCCTCTCATTTCCAGCTGGTGTCCTCCCCAATGGGTCCATCCAAAGAAGAAATACCTTTCATTCGTCCCTATACACATGACCTGGAAATCTGGGCAATTACATTTCATCCCATTATATTATTCTAGTCTGATTGTTCCAAAGTACCAATTCAGGCTTCCTCCACACTGGCAAAGCTTTTCATCTGTGTTTCACCAGCAAAGACCCGCTCTTCATGCCAAGGTCATTATGGAAAATATCAAACGTGTTCAGTCCCCAGAATGATCCTTTAAAAAACTTCAGTCCAACTCAATTAGCTCCACTTCCAGCACAATTTGTCTCATCAGATAAATCCACCTGTAACTCACCTATTCATCCCCTCTGGCTTACCTTCTCATGTCCCACACTGTCTTGAACATAGAAATTTCCTGCAATTTAGGTAGATTAGTTCCACTGAATTTCTCTGGTTTAGAACCAAAGCAGACTGGACAGATAGATCCCACTACTCTGCAACATTCACCTCCAGTAAACCCTGTTACCATTCTGTAATATTTCCACATTTATCTCGACATCTTTTAATTATTCTTTCCTTCAGTTTTTCCCTAATGCTTTCCATGTCTTCAAGGTCAGAGTAACTCCCTGCTGCCTGCTCCCTTCCCTCTCCCTTCCCTCCCTCTTTTGGGCACCATGTGTGTCACTAGCTGCCTGCTTGGCACTGCAACCCTCTCTTCCTTTACAAGTCCATGAGTGCATTTCCTGTGCCAAAACCTCTTTTCTCCAAGAGAGAGAGTGCCAGATGTCCCAAAGCTCAATCATATTGACTTCTGAATTCTTGCTACCACCTCAGATGTAATGATTTCCATTTCCTATATACTCATTCTCCACAGGAATGCTAACCTTGCCTCCATATTTTCTCTCTTTCAAAGAATTATGTCAAAATAGTGACTGTACTTCAGGCCGTATCCCAGTTAACTGTAACTCTCTCACCATTGTGTCATAACCTGTGTCCTCAATCCTTGCTATCTCTTTATTTACAATAATATATTTCGCTCTAACCTCAGAAAACAGAGTATCAGATTCCAAATAAAATAATGTAGATTCTACAGTTTTTAAACAAACTGTGAATATGAGCTAAACCAGACCAAATTCATCTAAGTTAACAATACTTAATTTTCTGGCACTTATGAATTTTGATGCTCAAGAATAGTTTGAGATATTAAATATCCTTCTTTTAATTTATTTAAAGATTCAAAATCTCTCCTCCAGGGGGACAGAAGATCTTATTAACCAGTATTTATAGAAATACTAGATCAGAAAGTTACTGCTTGGAATTGCCCTAATCCTGAGAGGGATTTAGGGGCTGAAGGAGCTTTCAGATGTATCCTGCATATTACATCCATCAGGCTTGACTCTGCAGGCTTTGCTTGGCCTATTAATTACCTCAGTCTCAATAACCAGAGCATCTTATGAAATAATAATGATGCTCAAGCAAGCTGATGTGGTTTAACCATGTGCTTTCCAGCCCACTGGTGTATTACCATTTATCAGTAGAGCCATAACTACTGCTGTTTTTCCAGCACTGATTTATCAGTGATCCTTTTCTTTTAAATCCAGTTTGGAGTCATTTTTTAGGTGACAGAAAAAAAAGGAGAGGCATCTAAAACCGAAAGGCCTATGCTCTGCTTTATTCATAACCGGAGCAAAGAAGAAGGCCAATTCCTCAAACCCAATTTCAGTTGAATTTGATTTATAAATAAAGAGTGGCCAAAAAGAGAATTGAGTGGGGGAAAGGATTTCAAGGGAAGTGAGGGAGCAACATCTCCCCTGAGGGCTGAGATTTCATCTGCTCCTTTTGGCAGATATTTGACAACTGACAAACCCTGGGAAAATAGAGCTGACAGTAAGAAACGGTGAACGCAGCCTGTTAAGCAGAAGACCAAATGACACTGCTGTAATTTGCCAGCATCTATTTAAAGAAGGAGCTACAAGGACTTTGCACAGACCTTGACAGGGGACTCTGGGAGACTGTCGTCCCCGAGTTTCCCGTCTGTTCTTTCTAAGAATGCAATTTCCAAAGGTTGAGATTGCATTGAGTTAAGGGTGTTGAAGGCAGGCAGGGATTAGCACTCTGAGAGAGAGGTGGGAGAAGAGCATCTTGCAGTGTGCTGCTGGGGAAAGAGCAAAGGGGAAAGGCAAGGGAGCTTGTCAAGAATTTAAGACCTGGTACCGCACAGATAACCTTCTCTCTCCACTAATATCTAAACCCAGAAACTCTTCCTGACAGTTGATGGAGGTAGCCTTCAACCCACTAAAATGTAACCTCCTGTAGCTAAAAAGGTTTATCTCTCTTTTCTACCCCAAATTAAACTTTTATCATTTTTGTCCCATTTTTAATCACTTTTGTCTCTTTCTCCCCATGAAAAAGTGAGAGCATTGTACCCTTGAAAGTAGTGTCTTGCATTCATTTTATTCCCAGAAAAAGTGTATAATCTGTCCCCGTGGAAGAGCAGGACTTAATGAAACCCAGCCTAGAAAAGTTCCTCTTTTCAGTTAAGCAAGCTGGTGTCAACACCCAGGATCCCAGGTGCCAGGCATGAGCACTCAGCAGCTTCAGTTCTGGGCCCTGGCTATGTGTTAGTCTAACACTCACAGACCTCATCATTCAATTGATTTGGACAACAATGTCTGTTATATGA